TGACAGCTCCGAGCTGGAAAGGAAGGGGGGGCGGGACAAGGCAAAGCAATGGAAAAAGAAAGAAAGAGGAGGGCGAGAAATAAACGAAGGAAACTACGGAAGGAAACCAGGATGCGCGCAAGCGAAGCTAACACTGCGCGCCGAGACAGTCGTTCGTTCGTTCGGTTGGCCGTGCGGCAGATGAATAGAAAGAGAATTGTTTGCTGCCTATCGACGGGACTTTTTGGGAATGACACTCGCGCTCTCTTCCCAACCCCCTTTCCCGCGCCCCGTTGCGAGCGCGCGACGATTCGTCCTGGCCCGCGGGCAGAGGACTGCCAGTTGCTGACGAGCGGCCTTTCCACCCGTCATGCGTTCCGAACGCATGCGACCAGCTAAACGCATTTGCCACGCAAGCCGCCAGCTCCAAACACCGACGCAACCCCGATCCCCGCATCCGTGCCAGGCACCCTCTCAAAGACGCCCCCTTCCGGCGTAAAACCAATAAAACCATTTGTGTTTACGTGTTTTGTCCTGTTCTGATTGGGGCCTCCTGGAGCCTCCTGGGGTCTTCTGGGGCCTCCTGAGGCCGCCTGGGGCCTCCTGGGGCCTCAGAACTACATGCACACACAGAGACACACATCACACCCAACACATCACACGCTACACAAACATCACACACAACACCTACAACGCACAGAAAACACGCACAACACAGAACACACATGACATACACACGACACTCACAATCCCGGGGCCTCCTGGAGCCTCTTCCAGTATCCAAGTCGGGCCTCCTGAGGTTTCCTGGGGGGCCCTGGTACACACATGGCAAGGTGTGGCAACCCCACTCGCGCTCGAGTGCGACCTCGATCTTAGATTCTTCTGCGTTCACCTCCTGCCTCTTCCCCTTCTCTTAGGCACGCCCTGGCGGCGCCGTCCCAGCTTCCCCTTCTCCATCTCCGATCCTGCAGTCATGGTGTCTTCCTGCTTCAAACGCCCTTTCAGTTTTTGTTGTATGAGCCTGGGCACACACTTGCAACTTGTATATATATATATATATATGTATATATATATATATGTGTGTGTTGTGTCTGCGGGTCGAACGTGGATCCACCTAGGGCGCATTGGGGCGCTCTTGCGTTTTTCTGGGGCGCCTTGGGCACTACTAAAAGTAACTGTCCTTCGGACCTGCACATTCTCCCGCGCATCCTTTTCGAAGCATGCACGACCCATGTCTCCACCCACATTCCTGCGGCTTTGGAACCCCAGTGCAACCCAGGGCGAATCGATGGTGTCATCGGCGTTCGTTACTGTTTGGAAAGGTGGCACCGTCGCCGGTCTGCAAAATACATTTCCCAGATCGGCTCGAGGTCTTGTGGTGAGCCTGCTCGTCTGCGTTTTGAAAGTCGGTCATCACCGTAAACATTCAAAAGCGGTTTCCCGTTTGTACAGAATCGTCGTCGTGGTTGTCGTCGTTGTCGTGGGCGTTGTTTCCCCAACCCTCCTGCTTTGGGTCTTCGTGTTGAATCGAGCACTGCGGTCGCGACTTAATACCTCCCGCCTCCCTCTCTTCCCTCATACTCTCCTCTCTTGCCTTCCCTCCTCCTTTTTCCCCCCTCTTATTTTTTGCTGCTTTGTACCCGGCTTGCCCTCGCCATGCTTGGGGGGGTGCTGCGATCTGCGAAACGGTCGCCACTTTCCAGGGCTGCTTGGGGGGTCCAACGGAATGGGGCACCAATGGGTCCCAGATTAGACCTCGCCATCACGGGGGGGCTGCGGCCTGCGAAACAGCCACCACTTTCGGAAGCTGCTGGGGAGTCCAACGGAGTGGGGCACCACTCCGGCCCTCGCCATCCATGAGGGGCTGCGAGCTGCAGAACTGTCGCCATTTTCGAAGGCTGCTGGGGGGTCCAGCGGAGCGAGGCACCACTCAGACTCAGGCTAGACCTCGCCATCCCTGTATTGCTGCGATATGAAGAACTGCCGCTACTTCCGAGGTTTGCTGGGGGTCGCGGAGTGAGGCACCACCAAGACTCAGATTAGACCTCGCGGTCCCTGGGAGGCTGCGATCCTCGAAACGGTCGCCAATTTCGAAGGCGTCTGGGGGGCACAAGGGAGCGAGACACCATCCAGATCCAGACTAGACCTCGTCATCCGTGGTTGGCTGCGATCTGCGGAATTGTTGCCACTTTCGAGGGCTGTTGGCGGTTGAGACCTGGCGTCGCGCCGGCGGGCTGCCAGCTCTTGCAGTGAAAGGTGCAGGAAGGAGGCGGAGAAGCTAGCGGGCGAGCCCGGTCTCGCTCGCATGTTGCACTGTCTAGAAGCCAGTCTGATTATTTGGAACGCCGCGGCGACATGGCGCAGGCAGCGTTGCATGTTTAGCGTGCTATAAACAGACGGCACTCTTTGTCTCCTCCCGCCACATTCGTCGACGTCCTCTTCCCCTTGCCACCTTTTCCCTCCTGCTGCTGCCGCGCTGATCGGCCTCCCATTCCATACTTACCCTGCTCCTCGTTCCCGCCCTTGTTATTCTTCGACCCTGGAACCCCACTCCTCGTCCTTTCGATGGCTGTCCTGTGAGTCGTGCAACGCATGCCGTCGTTCATGCTAATATTGGCCGACTCCCCTTGCCTCTTTAAGCAAAATGGTCGGGTACGTCACAATGTAATCGGCAAGGACGGCGGCGGTATCCTCGAAATGTCCGGTCTGCGCAGAAGCACCACCCGTGCCAGCACACAATGCCAAGCACTCTGTGCAACAACGGCTGGCTCATGCGCGGGAGCCCCGCGACCTTCTTGCGCTCACCAATACAAAGTGCACTGTGCGGCAAACAATCTGGACCATGCGCGGGCGCCCCGCGATCACTTTGCAGTGGTTGCTTCACAGGGGCGGCGGGGTTGCCCTCACATTGTCTGCTCTGCACTTGCGACGGGACTCATGAACAAAGTGGGGTCGGGCCCCAGGCTCGGATGCTGCTTATGAGTTGGGAGGGAAGGTGGGGGTGAGCGACGCGGCTTGGGGTAGCTTGATCGCTGCTCCCTGCTTCAATTAACACTCCCTACCCCGCCCGACCGGCAGACAACCCGGACCCATGCCCCCCCCCACCACCACCACCATTCTTGTCGACAAAACGATGCTAAATACACGTTGCCTCCAAATCTGGAGCATGCGAGGGTGCTGGCATAGTATGAATTGAAGGATCGAAGAATGACATAAACATAAAACTAGGAGGTCCGCGCGGATTTCTCGGATCGGCGCTGAACACCCCTGGCGGCGCCTCCAGCGCCGCCCCTGGCGCGCTCCGCGCGCCATAGAGGGGGGGTCCAGCGCCGATCCGAGAAATCCGCGCGGACCTACGAGTTTTTATATTCATGTCATTGCTCGCTCCCCTAATCAAACCTGCTGTGTGACATGCCTGAGCATCCTTTAACCGATCCCTATCCGCACTGGCGTGGCCTGGGCCCCGCTGGACCATTTTCCCTCCTGGAAGGGGACGTAGAATACTTCGGGTTTCGAGTGGCATATCCCCAACTGGGGTGGTGGGATGGTGGGGCTGAGATATCAAGGCCTGGTGGGGATAGGCATAGACGATACTGAATGTCAATACCCTAGCATCCCTGACAAAAACAAGTTGCATTTTGCGGCCAAAAATCCGGGTGATGCTCGGGTGCCCCGCGAGAACGTTGCACAGGCTGTCGACAGAGACGGCGGGGGTGCCAGCAAGTGGCCTGCTGGCCAGTATCTGCCCTGCTGCGCACAGGGCCACGACCCCTGCCAGAACAGCACACAAACTGCACGTCGCGGCCAAGTCTAGATCATGCGCGGGCAACCCGCGAAAGATGTGCATCTGCGTGCGTCAAGGACAGCAGGGGGCGCCTGGGGTGCCTGGTGCACGTGGCGCGCCTGGCACGCGTGGTGGGCGTGGCACGCGTGGCACACCTCACCCCAGCGTCGCGCACCTGGGGTCTACATTGGTTCCCAGTAGCTGCCCATCCAGAGACGACTGCTGAACATGCTTAAACTCGGGTGCTACTTTTTTGCTGAGAGGGCGAGTGGGAGTGAGCCAAGCAGAGTGCGTCTAAAAGGTGTCTTTACCCTTCACCCTCCCCCCTCCCCCTGGGTCTGGACGGGGGCAGGCGAGGCAAATTACCTGAGTACCCCCCCCCCCGGTTTTGGACCGATCGCTTCCAAGATGGCCCCCAGATGGCCGGCGAAAAGTGCCTATGAGAGCCCCAAGGGGGCCCCAAGGAGGCCCCAAGAGGCGCCCAAGTAGCCCCGACGAGGCCAAAGAGAACCCTAAGAGGCCATCGAATGGGCTCGAGAAATACCCACAGCGCTCGAAAATGCCTCCCGAGAGCCGGCTAGAGGCCCCCAAGACAACCCAAGAGGCCTCTACGAGTTCAGGGCAAACCCGCTGGACATCGCCTGGATGGACTGGTGGAAATACGCGAAGCGTTACGAATATTGATGGAGAATGGTGAAACATGATAACGAATGTGGATGATGACGAGGAGGGGGCTGGTCGGGAAGAAAGGAGATCGAGAAGGGTGGAGGGCGCTGGAGCGGAGGAAGGATATTTGGGGGGCAAAGATACGGAGTGAGGCGAGGGGGGTAAGGACGAGGAAGGTCAGTTGGGCGAGAAAGGGCCCACGAGAGTGTGTGCTGTGCGTGGAAGGCGAGGGGGGGGAGGGGAGGGGGGAGACACCAGAGGGTGAAGCTGGAGTGGTGAGAGGAGCGGGATAGATTTTGCGTGGGGGGGGGCGGGGCGGACGCCCGCGCTCGCTCGCGCCCGCGCGCGAGGAACAGCCCCCGATGTCCTGGGGAGGGCACTGCCCTGATGAGGGCCACCCCCGTCCGCCCCGTAGGCGGACGGAGGCCGAGCCCGTGGCGGCTCCGCCGCTCTTTGCCCTGGAGCGGGAGGGAGGGGTTGGTTGATTGATCACTTCGCTACAGAGGCCACAACTGGAGGGAGGAGGGAGGCAATAGGCGAGCCAGCGGAAGAGCAGGGGTAGCGGGAGGTCCTGCTCTCCAGCCCCCTCTCCTGGAACCACGTCAGAACACACACCGCGTCGGCCACGATCAGCAGGCCAACCGCGGTGACCCCGAGCCAGCAGAGCCTGCCCTGGGGCCAGGGCAGCCTGAGGAGAAAGAACTCGTCCACCACCGCAACTTTTTTGAGGGAAGGGTAGCAACGGGGAAAAGCTGACGAATCAGCTCACGTAGCATGCCTTCCTGGCGCCTTCCGGCGCCAGGGGCGCACCTGCACGCATCAAGGAAAACGCTCGGCGGCGGGGCCGAAACCAGCTGCATGCAGCACGTTCTGTCCCCAGCCCGTCTCGTCCGGCCCGGGCACTAAAGACCATTAGGACTAGCACGCCCAACGCAGGCCCATGTCTTGGTCGATATTGGATGACTGCCGGGTTGCCAGCCTGGCCAGCAGCCTATATCCACCAAGAGCGGTGTGAAGGCCTGGTGGAGGTGGATGATCGTTCCCTCTCCCGGGAACCAGATGTAGAGGCGCCCTCCGGTGTGCGGGAAACGCTTCCAGAGCAGCCGGTTCGAGCCCAGCACAGCCGGATGGCCATGCCTGAGATGCGGGTGCATCTGGGCCGCATCAGCGGCTGCTCAGCCAGCACGGCTCTGAAGAAACGCGTGGTTTTTCTGCTGCAAGCGCTTTCTCATGCCCTGGGGATCTGACGTGCAACACGACTGTGCGTGCCTCCTCTCATGGCATTGACAGGCAAGTCAATCGCTCCACTCACCATTCCCGTCCCTCACCTCTCCCATTTCCTCCTACCCGCGTCTGCGATGACTCACGCCAACGTTCTCACTATAGAATAATGGCGCATTCAAACATGTCCCTCACCCTGCCCTCATTATTCGTCTCCTCATCGTCCTCCCTCCTTCTCAGTTCTTCCTGCTTCCCACCTCATTCTGCCTCCCTCGCTCTTGTCCTCGCCCTCCGCGTTGCCAGTCTCCTCGTTGCCCTCGCTTAGCTCTCGCCATCCTCCTTCTCGTCCTCCTCCATGTCCGTGTGCTCATCTTCCTCCAGCTCCTCCTCATCCTCCTCCTCCTCTGCATTGCTCCTCCTCTTCCTTCTCTCTCGAAGACTTCGGGAACGCTTCGAAAAACCAATGGAAAACCAACATACGTTTGAACACCTCCTCCCCCGGAAAGATCCTCGCTGAATATCATGTTGCTCGATACCTGTACTTTTTTGATGTCGGTCTGCGGGGCCAAAGCACGCCCCCCTGAGACCGAAAACTATGAACATACTCTGCCTAGATCATCCCATGCCGTCTGAGGTAAATCTCCACCGCCTGGAGAACCGATCTCCCAAGACCCCATGAGAGCGGTGGGGATACGCCTATACAGGCAGACCTAGGTTAGAAGAACATCCCTCAAGAACACGACACCCTCCACCAGGCCAGAGCGTACAGCACATCCAAGGGTACCCTTCCCAGGATGCACAAGAACATCCAACAAGCACGAAGAACGCTATGCCACCCTCCCCGAAACGCCCTCGATCTTACGCCTCGGTTTGACTGAACGGCCATCTTCGGGGCCCGACTAATTCCATGTATCCGCCGCCTCCAGAGGTCCAGGCACCCCGACCCCCGACGGCCGGTGCCTTTCTCACAGCGTGAACCCCCAGCGGGCTCGACCCCGTCCCCCGGGCCGGCCCCAGATGCAGTGCACGTTTTCACAGCGCGAACCCCCAGAGGTCTCGACCCGCTCCACAGGGCACTGCTCCTCATCCCGAGTCCTTCCTCGACGGCCCCGAGGCCCAGGAACGGCCCTGTCGGGACAGGCGACACATGGGTGGGCGATAACTGGAGGGGCAGCGAGGGCGGCCGAAAAGGAGCCCTTAGGGCCCCTAAAGGGGCCTTTACGGCCCAGAAGGGAGCGCCTTTCTTCCCCCCATACTTTTCGCCCCCCATTCATTGGCTCCCGAACATGGCGAACAAAAAAAACGCCGTGGTTTATCCACGACGCGAGGGGGTCTGGGAAGATCGGGGCCCCATCGATGATCGTCAGAACGTGTCAACGCCACGTGCGCTTCTCCACCGACGTTCTCCGATACGACGCAGGCAGCGTCATGAATCAAGGCCGACACAGGCTGCGTGGTACTGGTGGAACTGAACGGGGTACCGCGGGTTTGCATTTGCGTCGTGTCGACCTCGGCGTTGGTCTCTCACACCGAGGGGATCGTTCAACCTTACACGGTTGGACGTTTCCGAAACAGCAGATCGTCCAACATCGACCAAATCTGGGTCGCTGGCGGCGTTCAACATTGAACGCCTGCGCCGAAGTTGCCGCCGGTCCACATGACGTGAACCTACCGAAAACACACATTGGGCTGACTCGCGTCCTGAGGATCATCGACCCAAGGCGGTGGGCGCGCACCTCTACGGATCGCCCTCCTCGCATCGCCCCCCCCCCCCCTCCGGCGCGGGGCCTGGGGCCGCTGAACACGGCACGGTCCAGGTGCGCCTGGCGGGCGGCCCGGAAGCCCGCTGCAGGGCCCCTGCGGGGCCGTCTGCAGGGGCCGCGGGGCTCCCAGCGCCGATCGCCGGGGGTACGGGGGGGAACGGCTCTCACCGTCTGCCTTGGTCGGGCCGTCTGACTGCCGCGTTGCACCTCCACGCTGCGTCCCTCCCTGCCCCGCACACGGCACCTCACCTCCACCAGCCGCCACTCACCAAATCACCCCGCGCGAAGGACCCCGCTGATCACCTGTGGGCGGACTCTCGTCCACCCGCGGCGTGGGCTGGCCAGGCCCCGCGCTCGCTCCCCCCTTGACTGTCTACGCCGCGCCGCCGCGCGCGTGGCCGCGGTACCGAAAGACGGGGAGTATGCCCGGTAGACTAGGGCGAGCTGGATCCAGCAGGCGGTCGGCTAACGGCGGGACGCTTCGGAAGCAGAACACGCACAAAGGAATAGGAAGGCAGGAGCGAAGGGGGGAGGGCCACGGGACGACCAAAGCGCCTTCAGAGAATGAAGCACCTCGGGAGGTGGCGGAGTCAGGCTCAAATGTTCGCCACTGCCAGTGCGTGCGCAGATACATCGACCGGGCACAGACATGCGACGATATGATTTGCCCGATCCGCGTTCCCCCACACCCCAAGTCGGGCTCTTGTTAAATCTGCACACACACCCCGCGCAGGATCTCCTCCTACTCCTCCTCCCACCTCTCATCACTCACTCACCGACTCACTCACTGACTCACTCACTCACTCACTCACTCACTCACGTACTCACTCACCACAATCACTCACTCTCTCACTCACCCATGCATCACTCATCACTCAGCATCATCATTACCACCACCATCAACATCACTAGCATAATCGTCATCACCACCACCACCATCATCGTCATCATCATCAGCATCATCATATTAGTTGCCAGCATCATTATCACCATCAGCATCATCACCATCCTCATCGTGGTCATCAGTATCATCATCGTTCCCATCGTCAGAATCACCACCCTCATCCTCATAGTTAGTATCATCATCAGTACTGTCATCATCAGCATCATAGTCATCATTAACAGCATCGTCATCGTCATCGTCATCATCACACCGCCATCGTCATACTAGCACCACCCCATCATGATCATCGACCACGGCTCACCATAGTCATCATCACCACCATCATCATCATCATTATCATCATCATCATCACCATCATCACAAGCATCATCAACATCACACGCACACACACTCCCTCACTCACTCACTCACACACACACACTCACACACTCATCTTGAGGTAGTCTTCAGCGGGAGCCTTGAGTGAATTGCGAAGAAGCCTCGGGCGTTTCGATTCCAAGCGCGGCCGCACGGCTCGGGCGGCAGAAGCGCATGCGCCGCGTGCTCGGGAGCACGGCCGAACAGCCCAGGTGGAAAAGCCCCGCCCCCTTGCCATCGCTCCGACGTCCAGTCGTGCGTGCATTTTCACCACGATGATCCAAGATGCTCCTCGATGGTCCTCGCCGAGAAAAATTATCCTGGCGACGGTGGCACTGGGGCCTTGGGTGAAGCCCCCTATGGGGCCACGAAACGCTGCACTGGGTGGGTGAAAATGCAACATTGGGCTTCCAGGACGCATGCGGACGGTAGCACTGGGACCTTCGGTGGGGCTCCCTATGGGGCCACGAAACGATGTACTGGGTGGGTGAAACGCAGGGAGGAGGGGGAGGAGGACCACGAAACGCTGTTCTAGGTGTGCGGGACGCATGCGGACGGTAGCGTTGGCACCTTCGGTGGGGCTCCCCAGGGGCCACGAAACGCTTGTACTGGGCTACCGGGACGCATGCGGACGGTAGCACTGGGACCTTCGGTGGGGCTCCCTATGGGGCCACGAAGCGCTGTACTGGGTGGGTGAAATGCAGGGAGGAGGGGGAGGAGGGCCACGAAACGCTGTACTGGGTGTGTGGGACGCATGCGGACGGTAGCGCTGGCACCTTCGGTGGGGCTCCCTATGGGGCCACGAAACGCTGTACTGGGTGTGCGGGACGCATGCGGACGGTAGGGAGGAGGGGGGGGGGCACGAGAGGAGGAGAACGCGGGGACCGTCTCTTCAAAACGAGGACCCAACACTACAGGATGGTTGGGAATGGCACACGTCCAGAGCGATGCCAAGCCCCGAGGCGATGCGCACGAGGGGGCCAGGCGAGGGTGTCGGCGTTCCGAGGAGGCCCCCCGCTTCCCAAGCCGAAGGGCAACGCCAAGGGGGCGACCGCTTCCCGGGGGGGGTCGGCAGAGCGGCGACCTGAAAGCGACGAGGCATCGCCTCATGCGTCGGCGACAGCCCCCCGATCGCACATCCGCACGGTCCTGGGCGGGGCGTGCGCTGTCAGGCCCGCATCCGCGATGAATGGGCGATCGGGGGTGGATACGTGAATCCCGACAAGTCTGTGGAACACCCCCCAACAGGTGGTAACTGACTATCTCCTCGGCGGCCTTTATTGAAGGAGCGGTGTTCCACCAATAGGGGGGAACTAACTATTTGCTTCCGCGGCCCCCCGGGTCATGCCGAAGAAGGAGGACGATGAAGAGGGGGAGGATGAGGAGGAGGGAGGATGAGGTGGACGAGGAGGTTTTAGGATCAGTCCTATTCACCGCCGAGAGAGAAGGGAGGTGAGGACCAAGACTGAAGACCTTTAGCGGTTACCCCCTGAGCCTATCCCCCCCTGGCGTTGCCCCTGCTGGTGCCAAGGCAAACGACCCGAAAAGATCAAGATCAGCGTTTTATCAACGATCTTCGGCGTCTGGAGGCAAGACTTTATGGGCACCGTTCGAAACTGCGGACTGAAAACCGGCCCCCGTGCATCGGTCGCGATCGACTCCAGGCGGATAATGGACAATTTTGAATGTGTCCCAACGCCTCTGGCCAATCTTGGGTCCTCCCGGGCTCCGGGAGCCTCTAGGGGCAAAGGTTCTCGCGCGAAGGCATCCGTACGGGGCCTCCGAAGGCCTCTCGGAGATCGAGAAAGCTCATGATGAGGAGGAGGGATGAGCAGGGCGGAGGGGGAGCGATGAGCAGGAGAGAGGAGGCTGGAGCAGGATCATCGGTATATTTTTCTCCTCCTCCGACTCCTCCTCTTCGTTATCGCCGACCGTGGCCCAATGCGT